TTTTTTTAAATGCCTTTTAAAAAGAGGACTATAATGTTTAAAACCTTATGGTTCATGTAAAAAATAAATCTGTAATAGTTAAAATGATTATCACACTAAGCATTCTATGACTGAAAATAAAACCCAAGTGGTGGTGATGGGAAAGTTGATGGTTTATAGGAGAGCAAGGACATCAGCCATGCTTCAGAAGCTTAGAGTGAGATTCCATGTTAATATGTGTTAGGATGGAATGTAACCCAGTAATGAAGCACTTACCTAGCATGCACAAGGCCCCAGGTTCAATCCTCATTGACACAAAACAACAAAAGGATGAGCTGGCAGAAGTTACTTCTACCTGTGAATACATACGTAAATAAAGGGCCAGTGGTCTTGAATAAAAACAAGAAAGACTTCCTGGACCAAGTGTGTAATATTTCCAAAATAATACAAGGTTTGCTCTGCCCTGAGATTTCTAATAACACAAAGGAATTGACTTCCAAAAAATCTATTAGAATGAAGAGAGTAAAATCACTGGAGATGATCTTGGAAGTCAAAATTTAAAACCTTATAAAGAAAGGCAATCTATTTTGTAAAAGTAACAATCTCAACAGTGGGGGAAACTGATCCCTAAGAAAATAACACAATAAAGCAGCTTGTAAGGTTTGTAAAGTAAACATTTTTAATATCCTCAAACTGAGGAAAGGAAAATCTTTCAACTACAAGTAAGGGATTATAGAATAATCCCTTGAAACACAAACAGGTTGATGTATTCAAAAATCACTCATAAATGCTAGAAATGAAGGGCTAAGAAAAGAGTTCAAAATACAAGAGAAAGTTTGAACTGGATCCAGCATAAGGATTCATTATTAAGAAATTCACCTGACCTTCCTTCTCCCTAACATTTCTTGCTAGAATAACTGACCTTCATATTTTTACAATCCCCTTTCAATTGCATCTTCAAAATTATTGAAGCTCTTCTAGTACCTTCTAAATGAAACATTTTATCTCCAGGAACACACAGCATCAATGCTAATGTGCAGACAGATGTGACTGCAGATACATGAGACCATATGGCCACCTGTCTGATGAACATTAACTTCTGGGTGGATTTAGCATCCTAAAATTCAACCCTGTATACTCATCAACTTCTTCCTCCTATAATCTCTTTCCCTTTGCATTCCCTTCCTCAGTAACTGACTCTGCCATTTACTCTATAGCCCCACCAGGAATCTAAAAGTCATGGTCCACTCCATTTTCTCCACATCTTCAATTTCAATGGCTCTGTGTGAGTGCAAGGGGTGGAGGTGGGGTGCAAGTATATGCACAGCAGACATGTGATGGGGATTGAACTCAGGGCTTTATTCATAGCAGGCAAGCACTTTACCCTCAGCTGTCCTTGGTTACTTAAAACACGGTCACTATGATGTTCAAACTGGCCCTGACCTGACTATATAGCCTCACTAGCCTCAGCTTGCCAACTTCTTGCTCCCATCTCCTGACCTCAATGCTTTGGCCAGTGGTAAAGGCAGTACACTGGCAGGAGTTAATAGAGAGGCAAAATTACTTACCTCACAGCCAGGAATATTAAAAAGGTGCTGAAGAATCTGAAGTTTCACTAAACCCTCAAGGACATGCCCCCAATAACCTAAAGCTCTCCCGCTGGACCTGACCTCCTAATGGCTCTGACAAGCCTTAATGGCACCAACCTGGGAAGCAGCCTTGGCAGACATTTATCCAAGCCACAGCTGATTTCATTTATAGCACTGAAATTGACTGGCTGATCCTAGGCAAAATGCTTTATACTACAGAAGTACTTCAGACAAACCGACATGCTCTTAGGCTTATTCTGGCAATGGCTACCTTTTAGTTCATTAGTTATTTTTGTAACTATTGTTCATAGTAATTAATGATAATTTTTATGTTTTGTAGTTGACCAGCTTCTGAATGTCTCTCTGTTTCTAGTCCATGGAAAATGCTTTGCCCTCACACTTCATTTAAAATGCCTTTTAAGCCGGGCGGTGGTGGCGCACGCCTTTAATCCCAGCACTCGGGAGGCAGAGGCAGGCGGATCTTTGTGAGTTCGAGGCCAGCCTGGGCTACCAAGTGAGTTCCAGGAAAGGCGCAAAGCTACACAGAGAAACCCTGTCTCGAAAAAACCAAAAAAAAAAAAAAAAAAAAAAAATGCCTTTTAAGCACAATGTTGATTCACAGAGACAACTTTGAAAACTCTGAAACCCTAATTATGTGGTCCATGTAATCTTGCCTTTGTAGTGACTCTCTTTGCACCTGTGGATTCATTTTTTAATTAGGTTAAAACGTTAAATTCTGGCAGGGCGGTGGTGGTGCATACCTTTAATCTCAGCACTCAGGAGGCAGAGGCAGGCAGATCTCTGTGAGTTCGAGGCTAGCCTGGGCTACAGAGTGGGTTCCAGGAAAAGCACAAAGCTACAAAGAGAAACCCTGTCTCAAAAAACCAAAAATAAAATAAAATAAATAAAAACTTAGATTCTATAAACTCAAAACTCCATTCCATTCAAAGGCCTCTGAGATGAAGCCCTGCTTATTTACCACACGCAAATGCTCAGTGGGATGTGCACTCCCTCATGAGCCACTGCCTGGCTTACAGCCAAACTCACTCCCAACAACAGTACCTGTAGAACCCCTTTCAAATATAAAATCTTAGCTTTCATATCACACAACACCTGGAATTTGTTTTTCCTTTTCATTACTGAAGGTTGAAATTATATGAAGACTACAGTTTAAAAAGGGTGAGGGGATTAAGCAAAAAAGTTTTTTTTTTCTTAACTTACTTCAAATTATATATTTTAACCTACTCTCTCCGTGGAACATTATATATAAACAAAAACTTTAAGCAAGAAGCAACTCTGTAGGTAAATCCTAATAACATAATAATTGAGTTAAAGAGTAAATCTTCAATATTATATACCACATCTTTATATAAAGCTAAAACAACTGTAACTAAAATGTATCATTTTTAGAGTTGGTCATATATGCAGATGTATTAAAAACTACACAAAGGGGGCCAAACATAAACTCAAAAATACTAATGACCATCTGTGAGAAGGAACTAGAAGATGGAATAAGAAGGAGATGTTACATTATTAGATAGAGACTATTGTCAAGGACCTGTCATAAATGCATGGATGCTTCGTACATTATAATGAAATTTAAAATAACTGGATAGCAGTCAGAATAAATTCAGAAAGCAGAGGGGGACTGAAGAGATGATTCAACAGGTCAAGAGCTTGTGGTACAGTCCTCTCATAAATTCCAAACATGTCATCCTCCCAACACTTGAAAGATGACAGGGAATACTCAGAACATGCTGGCTAGTCCTGCCTAGTCAAATAAGTGAGTTCTGGGTTCAAGTGAGAGACTCTACCTGTCTTAGTTAGGGTTTCTTTGCTGTGAAGAGACATCATGACCACAGCAACTTTTATAAAGGAAAACATGTAATTGGAGTTGCCTCACAATTTCACAGGTTTAGTCCATTATTATCATGATGGTATATGGTCATGTGCAGGTAGACATGGTGCTGGAGAAGGAGCTGAGAGTTCTACATCTTAAACAACAGGGAGCAGAAGGAGGCTGTGTGTCACAATGGATGTGCGTTAGCATATGAGAGAACTCAAAGCCCTCCTCCACAATGACACGCTTCCTCCAACAAGGCCACACCTACTCCAATAAGACCATACCTAATAGTGGCACTCCCTATGGGTCAATCACTGAAATGAGTCTACAGGGGCCATATTCAAACCACCACACTACCTCAATATATAAGATGGAGAGCAGTTGAAGAGAGCAACTAATATCAACTTCAGGCCTCCACACACATGTATGTATATATACCTTCACACACACACACACATACACACACACACACACACATACATGCTTGCATGCACAGACTTGCACCACATGCATGCATATACCCACACACACATAACACACATTTGAAAAAGGAAGCAGAGAGAATTCAACATAGGAAATTGGTTAGGTGTCTTAGTTAGGGTTTGTATTGCTATGATAAAACACCATGACCATAAACAACTTAGGGAAGAAAGTGTTTATTTCGGTTTAAAACTATTGAGTCACATTCTATTGCTAAAGGAAGTTTGGCAATAAGGTCCTTGTGTGGTGCCAGTGAGAAGGAGTTTCTGCTCATCATGACCAGGGGCTCAGTTTAAATAAACTCTGTTAGTTTTAATTGTCAACTTGATACAATTTAGAATTATCTAGAAAAAGAGTCTCAACTGGGGATTAGCTAGATCAGGTTGGCCTGTGGGCCTGCCAGTGAACAAATATCCTGATTACATCAGTTGATGTGGGAAGCCTAAAAGTGACAGTGCAATTCCCTGGAATGAGTTCCTTGTCAATGCTGTTGGTTACCATCCACAACCAGAAAATAAGATCCTATTGCTGAAGACATTACATATTTATGTCGCAGAATATGGAGTAATCTAGTTGCTACTCAATTGAAAGTTCTACCCCTAGTGGATAGTATTCATAGTGCTGGAAGGTTCTACACATGCTATCAAAAGCGAAAAGTAATCACCAAGCTCACCCAGCTAGGAAGCTTGCAGGCTACGATAATAACAACCTACCTGCAAGATCTGCCCACTTGTACATTAGTGGCATGAATGATATAGGAGTAATTAACCACTTTTTGGTTGATTTTAAGGTCCACTCCATGAGATGCAACCCATACCTGACACTGCTAAAGTGGCCAAGAACCTGAGACTAGATAAGTCGTGGGCCTAAGGGAAACATACTACTACTAATGTGCCAAATGAACATAGCAATAAGATGATTCATAATGACAAATTGCTATACTCATAGATCAGTGAACCACTCAGCCCTCACTCAAACACCTCACTAGAGATGTTCCTTCATTCATAGACAGCAATTAACACAGAGACCCACAACTGTATCATATTCAGAGAGTGAGAGACTTTACAGCACTGTAAATGGAATGTCTTTGTCACATCCTTCCTGTCAAGGATTGGGGATCTATGTGGAAGAGGTGGAAGAAAAAAATGTAAGAGCCAGAAGTGGTAGGAAACTCCAAGAACAGCATTTTCCAGACATATGCAAATGCACATATGAACTCGCAGAGACGGCTGGCAGTGCGCACAAGACCTGCACAAGCTGAAGCCAAACAAAATTCCCCATGGAGGAGGGTAAGTGGATACAAAGTCCCACCCCTAGGCAAGGAGCTGTTTGCAATTGATGGCTTCTGGGGGGTGGGGGGAACCAATTATCTTCAATGGAGTGACAATGAGTTTATCCACTGCCCTCCAGGAAAGACCACATGCTCAGGAGCAGTTGGCCAACACAAATCAGACTCCATGGTGTGTGTGTGTGTGTGTGTGTGTGTGTGTGTGTGTGTGTGTGTGTGTGTGTGTGTGAAAGAGAGAAAGAGAGAGAGAGAGAGAGATTGTGTGTGTGTGTGTGTGTGCTGTTTTATTTTTATGAAAAAAAAACATGAAGTTGGATAGGTAGATAGGAAGATCTGAGAGGAGCTGAAAGAAGGAAAAGAATATGATCAATGTATTGTATTAAGTTATAAAAAAAAATAAAAAATTATTTTTCAAAAATAGAAGAGAGCTGAGCACTGGCAAGATGCCTGTACTTACTCTTTCTCTACTGTTGAGGTGAGTGTAACCAGCTGCTTCATATTTCTGCTGCCTCAACTTCCCTGCAATGATGGACACTAACCTGGACTTGTAGCTAAAATAAATCCTTTCTCATCTAAATTGCTTGTGTTGGGGTACTTTTATCATGGCAACAAGAAACAAAACTGAGACATTCCCACAGTCACCACAGCAGCAGAAAGGGTATGCGCAGAGTAACACACCTGCTTTTCAACACTTTTGCTCAAGTGGCATGCCCTGCAAACCTGACTGCTTCAAAGATGTAGGATAAACTGCCACTTTTTAGAGAATGAAAACTGGAGAGAGGAGAGGGACAGGAGTGATGCAGATTCAGTCCTCATGCATGAACTTTCCCAAAATCCTAAAGTTAAAAAGAAATGATAATTATTTTTAAAGGAAATGAAAATATGTGACATTATGGTCACACTTTTTCAGCCAAACTAAGTCATGTGACCATGCCAAATTTCAGAGGGTAAAATGAAGGTAAGTCCAGCTACATGCCCAAAAGGCCAAAATACAGAAACGCTTGATGATATATAGCTCTACCAACTAAGTAAATTAAGACAATTCTCTCATGGATGAGCAATCAAAATGTGTCATAAACCCCAAATTACAATGAAACCAATTCTGGGTAAGTGGCACATAAAATCTACTGTAACATTTCCTTATGATAAGCATAATATTCCATAGGAGTCAACATCCAAGAGAATTTAATGACTAAAGGTGCATGGCTGAAACATTACCTTTAACACCATGCATCCCCATTAAACACACTATTGATAAATCTACATAAAGCAATGTGACAGTACCATGTGTGTGTTGTGTGTGTGGGGGGGGAGAGGTCATGTGCATAAAAAGTCTCAATTATAATATAGGTCCTCTTGACATGGCTGTGAATGAGGCCAGTTTCTTACAGGTTTAATTTTGAAGTGCCAGTTGCTACTGCTTGGCAGTGATTGCAAGATTGTGGGTCATCCATCCTTCATATACAGCACTCCCAAGAGTGGCTATGAGATACTTCTTGGGTCTCTGAAAGAAAACATGTATTGTAACACCTTTACCTTTAATGAGTCAATGGAATCTCCAAATCTCTCTTTTGCCTGACTACCTTATTGTGGCACAGATTTGTATTTTAGTCTCTAAAGATTTGCAGCTGAGCCTGTATCCTTGAAGCACTCAGGTACACAGACTAGAAGACAGTGTATTCCTGCCAGACTTCCTAAAATAGGTCTCTGAGAAGAGGCAGGGAAATGTGGAAAGGCTTTCACTTCCCTATCCCTTCTGCTCTCCCAGCAGCATAAACATAGTAAGACAATCTGGATTGGTTTACTTCAGGCATTGTGTTTATTAGCACAATACCTGCTAATGTACAAACAATTGTGGTGTGCTAGCACATCAATCCAAACACTTGTGGTGTGCTAGCACATCTCAAAATGGGTCTCATCCAAACAAGCCAGAAGTATGAAACCCCAATTGTAAGCCTGAAAATAGACTTGAGAATTTCTTACACAAGAAGAGGAGTTGTAACAGCAAAGGAGGGTTGACACATCCTGGCAACTCTCAACCCCCTCTCTAAAAATGCAGGCCACTGTACTCTCAGGTTCCTGTTGGCGTATGGACTTTGTACATCAATCCTATGGCATGATCTTTCAAATTAATTATCTTTTGGAACATCAGGTGTTTCTCTGGTGCTACATTATGCAAGCATCTAGAAATGATGGGCAGCAGAAACCTATTTCAAAGTGCCGAAGGAGGAAAGGTCCAGTTTGACTCACAAATGTAAGAGAGTTTCTGGCATGACTGGTACAAAAGTCAACAGAACAGCAGGAGGAACCTGACCTTGCTGCACCTCTCATACCTGCGCTGCTTCACCTGGCCTCATTCTCAAACAGAACTTTCCAGAGTGGTAGAAACTAAGGTACCAGAAGCTCTGGTTCCATTCTACCTAGCCAGGAATCCTAGAAGAAAATCCCAAAGCTCCTTTTCACCAGTTCCAATAAGGATAGGGTAGTAAGTCCCTTTTGGCCAAATCCTGAGCCATGGAAACATCCTCAAAGATAAACCTAGGCTGAGAATGATGAAGTAGATACAAAAGAAAAACTAAGAAACTGATACAAAAGAAAAATAATAAAATAAATTGTGTCTACTATAGAAATGATGACTCAAGGATGCAGTCAGCCTAAAGGTCCTCAAATAATATCCAGTCAGTCTCTGAGAACCATTCAACAATACAAAAATGTAGTAAAAACTTGTAACTCTACAGTAAAAACAAAATACCTATGCTCTGTCTTTTAATATGATGGAAGAAAAGATGAAGGGATGATGAGATGAAAAGAGAGGAGGAAAACTGAGGACAAATACATGAGTCACCTTATGATCTAAATAAAAATAGACTCCAAAGGCTAGGAATGAAGGGAATATGCCACAACATGATAAAAGCAATCTATAACAAGCTTGTGACCAAATAACACTGAAGAGGGAAATCTCAAAGAATTCCTTCTAAGAGCAGGAACAGGACAAGGTTGTCTACACTCTCAACTCCTAGTGAAGATAATGCTTGTAGTCTTAGCTACAAGAATAATGAAGAAGAAAGGGATACAAATAGAAAAAGAAGTTAAAATAATCCTGTTTGCAGATTATATTACCCTGTACATAAAATACCCTAAAGACTCCAGACCAAAAAAAATGAAACAAAACACCTTACAGCTGATAAATGCTTTCAGCCAAGTGGCAGGAAACAAAATTAACACACAAAAATCAATAAATCTTTCTTATTTACTCATGACAAACAATCTGGAAAAAAAGAAGTCAGGAAAACAAATCTATTCACAATTACCACAAAAAAAAAGTAACACATGGGAATAACCTAAGCAAGGAAATAAAAAACCTCTACAGTGTAAACTTTAAGACACTGAAGGAATTGAGGAAGATACTGGATGAGAAGCCCTCCACTATCCATGGACCAGAAGAACTGTTACTGCAATAGTGGCCATCCTACCAAAAGCAGTTTGCAAACTCAGTAGCATCCCAATTAAAGTTCCAGGACCATTCTTCAGATAAGTGGGAAAAAAAGCATCTTAAAATGTATACGGCAACCGAAAAGATCAAGGATAGCCACGGCCTATGCTGAGATACTTTGCTCAGCCTTGGTGTAGGGAGGAGGGGACTGGACCTGCCTGGGTTAAGTCTGACAGGCTGGGCTGACTCCCCAGGGGAGACTTTGCCTTGGAGGTAGTGGGAGTAGGGGGTGTATTGGGGGAAGGGCTGGGTGTGGAAGGAGGGAGGATGGGGAATATGTGGCTGATATGTGAAATTAAGTTAATTATAAAGTAAAAATACTTTAAAAATAGAAAAGAAAATTAGATTATGGAAACTATACAGAGAGTTCTCACAAGAAGAACCACAAATAGATATGAAATTTTTTAAGTGCTCACCGTCCTTATCCATCAAGGAATTGCAAATTAAAACTGCTTAAATACTATACTTTACTCTAGTCAGAATGGTTATCATTAAGAATATAAATAGTAATGAATGTTGATGTAGATATGGGTAAAAGGGAACTCTTACAGACTATTCGTGAGAGTAAAATCTAGTCCAGTTAACACTGGAACTCAATATGGAAGTTTATCAATTAGCTAGAACTAGAACTATCAAATAACCCAGATATACCACTCTTAGGTATATACCAAAAAGACTCCAAATCCTCCTTCAGAGACACTTGCATAACCATAATCATTGTTTCTCTATTCACAGTAACTAGGAAAGGGAATTACCCTAGATGTCTATTAACTGATGAACAGATAATGAAAATATGGGAATTTACTCTGTGATATAATTTGTTATTGTGAAATTTGCAGGAAATGAATGAAACTAGAAAAGATAAAGAGTGAGTAATTAAGGCCCAGAAGTCAAATGGCTCCTGTTGTCTCTCATATGTGGGTCATAACATTTGTAATTTAGATTTATTTAGTCCCAAATGTCTGTAAGGATCTGGAAGTGACAATAATGGTGTAACTGCTGTAAGAGCAACCAGTTGATTTCTCTTTGGATCTGAGGCCAGGAGTTCATGCATTGTACTATGAACTCAATTGAAGACCCATGACAGAGGAGGTCATAGGCATTAGGGATCAATCTGCTACTTTTGTTTTCCTAAATGGACATGTTGTCAAATTGTTGCTTAAATGCTTATGTGTACATCCATATATGGTATACTCACCCTTGATCAAAGAAGCAGTTTACAGCAGTGGTTATGTCTGAGATTCATAGCAGGTTAAAGTGCTGAGAACTAATGATTTTTTGAGCATTAAATGAAACACCTATATCACCCCCTCCAAGGCATAAAGAAAATCACAGTAGAACAGGATAAAAGAACACAGGATCCAGATGAGGAGGGTCTGTCTTATGGACATGATGTAGCTGTGATATACATGAACTCATAGCAGCTGTGGTTGCCTGGATAGGGCCTTCACAAATCTGAGCCCATATTCAACTGTAGATGTGGATTCATGGGGTCCCACCAAATGAAA